TTAAAATAAAAATCCAATTAGCCACACAACACAAAAGTAACTATGCATAATCTTTTACCCTACGGTCATGTAGTTATTTTAACATTAAAGACTTGTCCTAGCTGTTCGATTTACTTTTGCTTCAAAGATATTTTTAAAAAACGATAAATTTCAAGCTTTATGATTTGACATTATTTTAGGAATGATAAAAGTAATCTTGTAATCTACGTTGTTTTATCCTTTTTCATGCTTCTCTAGTTTAAAGGAACATCACATAATGTGCATGTATGATTTGGAGCCGCTGTACTTTTTTCAGGTAAAGTACACAGATCTAAAATAACTCTCCGTAAAATTTAACTGCTTAACTCATTATGTTTTAATGTTTCATTGTCCTGCATACAAGAACATTAAATAAAATCATTACAAGTTATACAGTGTATTTCATGTATTTTGTATGTCTTCAGACAAATTAAATTTATTTTCAGATATAATTATATATTTAGAGAAACAACCCACCGTTTGGATTTTTAGTATTGATTAATGGTAGCTTAGTTCTAATGTACTGTACATTAGAAACTTATTCCCAAATGATAAGTTGTAAAACTCAGCATGAATAAATCAACGTACATTATCGATGAATATGTTAACTCTTTTAAGTATGGGTTAATACCTGGGTGAAAACCATGTTTGCCGGCAATATTTTTTATTGCTACGAATATGGTTTAAAGAGGTAGAGGTCATAAAGCTATAAGCTATATCATAATTATCATACATACAACAAACCTATAAATGGATAAAAAAATGAAATGTATATCAAAACGTTTGGTGCCTATATATATTATTATATATATAGTAATTTCAGCATGTCTGTCAGTCTGTAGTTCTGTCTGGCTGTAACACTTTCGTTTTCGACCGATATCTCAAGATGCCCTTGAGCTTTTGAAGTGAACTTTTACACAACTTCCTATGGCGATTTAGAGGTCAAAAGATCAAAGGTCAAGGTCATAAATTCAATAATTCTGTCTGTTTAAACACTTACATTTACGTGCGATCTCTCGAGAACCGTTTGAGCTCTTATAATGACATTTTACAACAATACTCCCTATGGCATAAAGAAGACGTTTTTTTTTTATTTTGAGGTCAAAGTTGTCATTTCATCCATTATTACTTTCAAGAACCTTTTGGGTTTTTGCAGTTAAAATTTATCCCGTAATTCCCTATACTCTTCCTGCCCTTCTTTAACGTATTTAATCCCTAATAGCAACAGATTCATGTTTAGGTGTTGAATACTCTGTATATTTAGAAATTAATCCCATTTATTACTATTATCATTAAAGGTGGGATGCGTCCTAATTTATGACCTTTAATTTTGGTTAGTTATCTCCCTCTATTTTTAATTAAAAAAATAATTAGAACAATAGGCCCACAGGCCTTCATCTTCGCTAGCTAAGGGTTTCTGATACGCTACTCTTCTCATAATCAGGAGAGAAGCGTATCAGAAATCCTTGGCTAGCGAAGATGACGGGCCTTATACATGTAGGTCACCTGAGTATCATGTAACAACTTTCCAACAATTGAATTTGTTTGGTGTTTTAAACCAGAGGCCATGAAATTCACAATTTTTTTTGAAAGAGGCACCTTTGCTTATCATAATTGCAAACTAAGCATGCTTACTCTATTTACTTAATACCCAGAGGTAGATCTGATTAACAAAGAGAAAATGTACTTCCACTTTATAACCAGTTGTGCACCCCACCCCAAAGGAACCACCTACCCTGGGGCCACATATTTCAAAATTTTGGAAATTTAATCATAAATTTTATTTCATCATAAATGTTGATTAATACCAAAGGGCAGATTTCAAAGCATTAATTTATTTTCAGACTGTGTAACCCCCACCCCTACCCCGGATACCCTTTAACCAAAATTAACCATTTTGCTAGATGCACCTTTCTTCATCATAAATATATATACTTGGATCATTAGCATAATACCCAGGAGCAAAGGAAACGATTTTCAAAGAATTTATGTATTTTCACTATATAATCAAAAGAGCCCCCCCCCCCCCCTTAAACAAATTGGCAAAACCCCTCATACAGGCCTAGGGGCAATGAAATTCACAAATTTGGTTGAGGCGTAATAACTATATATTAAGTTATTTTATTTAATACCCAGGAGCAGAAAAGAAGATTTTCCAAGATTTAATGCATTTTCACTACATGTATATAATCAATAGAGCCCCGCCCTAACACCAGAACCCCTGACCCTGGGGCCATAAAATTCAAAAATTTGATAGAGGCACTCTTGCTCATCATAACTATGTAATTAGTTTATTTATTTAATACCCAGGAGCAGAGAAGAATATTTTCAAAAATTTAATGCATTTTCACTATATAATCAATAACACCAGAACCCCTGACCCTGGGGCTATAAAATTCACAATTTTGGAAGCAGCACTCTTGTCCATTATAACTTTATGTATTTTGTTAGTTTATTTAATACCCAGGAGCAGAGAAGATCTTCAAAGAATTAATGCATTTTCATTATATAATCAATAGAACCCTGCCCCAACACCAGAACCCCTGAGATGTTTGTAAAGCACATGCCCCTTCCCCCAATAACCGGAATTTTTCCAAGTCCAAGGGGCATAACTCTGTCCGAAACAGTTCGATTGTATCCAAAACAAAACTTGGCGTAGATATTCTAATGATAAATCTGTATACTTAATTTCATCTCAATATGTGCAACCTCTGCGAAGAAAATGAATGGAACTGCAAATATTAGAATTTTTCTAAGTCCATGGGGCATAACTCTGTCCGAAATGGTGCGATCGTACCCTAAACAGAACTTGACATAGATATTCTCATGATATATCTGTGTACCAAATTTTATTTCAATACGGGCAACCTCTGCGTAAATGATGATGGACCGACAGACAGACCGACCGACAAACAGCATCAAATCAAAAGGGGGCATAATTACTGCTTAGTTAGTAAAAATTTTAAAACTTTCTCGGGGGCAATCCCTTTCTACTATTAAATGATGGGAATCCTTTAGTATCCCACCCCCTCGACTCCTCGTCCCTCCCGGGTCAGCACATATATCCTCTTCTTTTTTTCCTTCAGCGGCGGACACATATTCTCTGAATTAGTTTGTTATAACAGAAATGTTGTATCATTTTGTGTTGATAACCCTGTAAACAAAGCGTAATACGACTCAACAAATCAAGTGACTATTATGATAACTTTAAAACAATTTTCTAAATGTGTTGTCATTCAAAATTGTGAATTTTATGGTTCAGTCAAAGGAGTTTGAAATTTCTGTTGTTTAAAAAAGATCCGCAGATTTTATTTCCAACCTCAATTAAAAAAACAGGATTTTTATTACATATTATCATTTTTTAAACATTTTATACTTCAACATTTTCATTTCTCTGTAACATCATCATATACTGGTACAAAAACATAACATTTTCATGCCTCTATTAGCATCAAACACTCAACATACTTCACATTTCTATTTCTCGTTTATCATCATGTAAATAAACTAAATATCCTTGGATAAAAAGGACTCAATTTTGTTCAAATGAAGGGCCTCACTTTCCATGGAAAGCAAATTACAAACAAGTACAAAAATTACTCTTCAAATTCTTCCTCTCAAGAATAAAAAAATTACAATAAAACACACAAATACAGAAGTGTATATTCAAGTTTGTTCAACGGCATGTCCTTGTTTCACTTTACTTTCACAAGTACAAAAAATACTCTTTAACCCCTTCCATGGCAAAGATTTTTAGCATTTTTAGAGAAATTGATATCAAGATTTTAATGCATTTTTTCGGGTATTTCTTGTAATTTTTGTAAATACCAATGTATATATATTCTGAAAGTAGGTATTGTGAGGTTTCTGAAAATGATAATGAAAACATTCTTTCTGTTGCCATGGCAACGAAATATGCCCAAATTACTGAGAAATCTCTATTCAACCTTCAAGTAGTTATATATTAACTTTTTTACTTCAGTAAAGTATTTAAAGTAAGTAAATTTTGATGCTGAGACATAGCAGCATATTGTTTACCGTAAGTTTTAATCAAATTTTAAGCACTTTAGGGAGTAAATACAGGATTTCAACATTTTATGCTCCAGTAGGGAAAAGGAAGAATAACGTTCCTTAACAGCTATCGCTCGCAATCATAGACTAAGTATTACTCATTCCATGTCTGAAAAATCCTTTGCTTGACAGACAAGAAACTTAGTGCATGTACACTCATGACGGGTACCCCTCAGTAAGTACATGATGACCCCTTTTGAGATGGAGGTCAAAAGGTCAAAGGTCAAACTATTCAAAATATATAAAGATATTAACCATTCAAGATTTTGAAAACCCTTCGCTCAACATAGTATGTACGGTGCAGATCTAAGAAACTTAGTACATGTACACTCATGACTGGTACCCCTTAGTAAGTACATGATGACCCCTTTTGAGATGGAGGTCAAAAGGTCAAAGGTCAAACTATTCAAAATATATAAAGATATTAACCATTCAAGATTTTGAAAACCCTTCGCTCAACATAGTATGTACGGTGCAGATCTAAGAAGTCTGATTTTAATTACATTGTTGCTTTTCATACAACAATTTCTGTTCACTGTTATCCTCTGAAGAGTAAATTACTTCTGGTGATTTTTGGTTTGATTGAATGTTTGCCCCTGACCAGTCAACAACTATTTTCTTCAAAATAACAAATTCTAAAGCTTTTTTCCAATATTGTCGTGCAGGTATAAATTATACATGTATTTGTTTCTCGAACAATTCTTGTTTTTTTATCACACTTTTTTACCCTGGTAGGAATGATCATAATTGTTTACAAGTGGTAAATACTTTCAAGTACCGGTAAATATGAAGATAAAATTACACAAGCAGAAACTTAGATGATATCTATTGCTCTGGACAAAAAAAGAATAAAAAAATTAAAGACTTTGAACTTTTATCATTCATAGACTTTTCAAAATTTGAATGAAGTTGAACTTTGATCTATGACATAGCACAATGTTGCATAATTGAAAAAAAATTACATCTTTGAGTAGACAACATCATTCTTAACTTACAAACTTAAGGAGATTTACAAAATAAAATCTTAGCTTCCAAAATAACATTTAGAAGATTTGATATGCCTCTATACATGGTATTCAAATTTTGAAATATAATGCGTAAAATTAAGGAATATTAACCTTGATCTTTGAGTCATTGTGATGTACAGTAATCCTATGTTTTATGTATTCCTGCAAGTGACATCTCATACAGATTTTCCAAGCATGATTATGTGACTTATGTAACAAATTGATCTTAGAGATTAACATCAGAATGAAATTCCCTGAAACATCGTTCACTACACAAGTGTTTGTTACACCCTTTACAACCATAAACTGTCTCCTTTCTTTTCTTTTCTCTGTGTTTGGTACACCATTTGCATGTTGACTTTAGGCGATCCAGATGGCAGAAAACATGAGGGGGTCAAGAATACCCTGTAAATGATGGCCCCGCTTTCTTCCTCTGAAGCCTCCAATAAGTTGCTGAGCCACCTCCATCCTGAAATCCAGCAGGTCAAACCTTGTTTTGGTAGGAAGATCCTTACCAGGTGTTCTGGAAAAAATCTCAAATGCATTTATAAGGCAAACTTCCATAATAAAGTTGAAGAAAAACTTCCAGTATTTTTTGGATGGTCTGCCAACAGGATTCTTTGCGCGGTGTTGCATGCATCTGTCGACTCCACTCATATAACGTTGATAGGAAGATACTGGTGGAGGACACATAACCTCAACAAAATTTCCACCACGAGTTCGACGGACAACTGGACCATCTCCAAATGGACTACAATTAGTGCTCAAAATATGTACCTAAAATAAAATTACATAGAGATATAGGCCTAGCTGGAAATTAAACTTACGCTACATATAGATATATTTACTTCTTTGGGATTTTAAGATAAGCACTGAAACTATATTTGCACTGAGATTTTTAACAAAGATATACACAAAAAATTGCACAGGAATATAATTAATCAGATAGACCTTTATGTCCTCCTTAACTCTTTAGTTGAAAGTTTAATAATTGCAGGTAAAAGTGTAATTGTGATAAATGTTGCTATTTTTATTAAATTTTGAAACATAGTACATGTCTGTATGAAGACAATGAATATGTAATACCGTTTTCTTATCTTTCCAAGCAGTGGCAAGCAATTGGTCGTGCTGCATCTGTAATGTCTCCCCTCTCCTTAAATCCGGATTTCTTAACTCTGGCGGAAACCCTTCTGAGTCGCTCTTTATTGTCCCACAACTAAAAATCCCATTCTGAAGCAAGGTTCGCACCAAGGAAATGGATGTAAAGAACCTGATATTATATAAAGTTTAAAAATATTAGACATTGAAAAATATGAAATTATTTTGATAATGAATCTTTCATCATTCAGTCATGTTGAACAATGTTGAAGTCATTTTAAGTTGTTTCAAACACAAACCTGTCAAAGAACACATGATGGCCTTTGTATTTCAATGGTCTACACAAGTGTTTGACGACTCTTTCTCCTAGTGACTTTCCATGAAAAAAGTCATGTTTTCCCATATACGGCCAATAATCATAGCAGTAACCATCCTCATCACATCTCATGAATATCTGAAAAAAATATTTTGTTGCATCAAATTTTTTTTATAACTATTCACCTAGCATTTCAGAGACATATACATTAGCCGGTGGACCAGTTACTGGGGGGATGATTACCGTATGTTTACTTGCCTATAAGTCAGATTTTTGGGAGTAAATCTCTGGTCCAAACTCTATGTCCGACTTGTAGGCTAGTTATAAAATGAATGGTATTTTATGAGGTCAGTCCCTCTGATATATAAGCTTATTAAATACAACCAACTTATAGGCGGACCGATTATAGGCCAGTATATACGGTACCTGTCCTTCTCATCCATTCCCTGATCCACCTCGTCATCATATAAAAAAAATTTTAATGCTTCCTTAGTCTTTTTTTAAATATGTAATCAATTAATTAAATAATTTTTTAAAAATTACATTATTTTGTGTATCACAATATCAATTTATTGAATGCAAATAGGCATTTCATTGATACAAACCTTAAAACCTCTCTTGACCGGTTTATTTGGCATGTATTGTCTTGCAAAAAATCTCCCTTTGTACTTAACCATGCCCTCATCAATAGCCTGCTGCTTAGGTGGATTCATCTGACTCCGAAATGCCCTTCTTGTCTCATCAAGTACAGGTCTTATTTTGTGTAATCTGTTGAAAAGAAATGTGAAATGTTTAAGAAATAAGATATCATTTTTAGAGTTTCATTGGGATATGACATGAAGTCGGTCACATGATCAAATTCTATAACACCCGAAGGGCGTTATAGTATATTTGATCACATACCGAAATCATGTCATTCCCAATGAAACTCTAAAAAATGATATTTTATTTCTTATATTTATATTTTACTTTTATTCGTAATACAAGGAAAAATAGGCGCTATTTGGACATTGTTATAGAAATGCAACATAACGTAACTACGGCGTCATATGACATCACAGTCAAGACTTTCTAATAGTCTCAAGCGGTTTGCCCAACTGCATGTCATTGAAAATTGAATGTCAAAATTATTTATATTGTCATATAAGGAAAGACATTAGCAAATGTAAATATAAATCTATAAAACAAAATGAAGACACTAAACTATAGTGATGTGAATCAGTGTCAATTTCATAACTGATTATTGGTTTTCTGTAACTAATATTAGTTATAATTAATTTAAGATCACTGTTGAGTAATTTCTAGAATATTTATATTGGTTAACTATTAAAATAGAGAATTATAAATTGCATACCTGTCAAATTCAGGTGTTCCTCTGGCTCCCTGAGTAGTATTATCATTTAGATGGAAATACCGAGTGAGCTTTTCAAATCTTTTCAAACTCAGCGTTTCTTGAAAACCAATGTTACCTGCATATGATTGTAAATTTCACTTATCAATGTCAATTTTAAAAAATGAATTCAACAATAAATGGATTTTATCTCTAGAAAATGAGAAAAGAAATAAAGAAACAATTTTAAATGACTTACACTGCCAATTCCAGAAGAGCACTAAGCAGGTGTAATTAAGTTTCATTTTATATTCAACATATTCCTCAATATTAAGAAAAAGTTTATGATCCGAGTTGTTTCATGGTAAAGGTTTGAAGACATTGGTCAGCTCAACATCTACATAAATATTGTTTGAATAGAAATACAAACATAAATTTAATACAAATGAAACAAATTGAATGGGTGTGCAATTTATAGACAAAAACAAAAATGTACAATACATTATGTTTATATCTTTGTTACACACACAAAACAAAGACAAAAAAAGTAAACGTTGTAGTCATGAAGGTTTCCAGACAATGCGAGACACAACAATTATGAACTTAACATAAGTTCATTACATGTAATAATATTCCTTATTTTTAATTTTTTATCAAGGAAAAATGGATCAGTGTCCGTTGTAAATATAATAAAATTTAATGTACTTTTCAAAATCTGGAAAGGAAAATGACTGACAATATTTTTTTTCAAATTGTAACAAGAACATTATTGTAAACAGAAAGTAATATAAAGAAACAAAACAATATAGGTGCAAATTTGATAACTTACCGATAAACTTATCAGATGACCAATACATAGTGTATCTGGGAAGCTGAATAATCCCCATCAGAATTTGTAATCCGAGGAATGCCTTCATCTCGTCGATGGTGGTATCGGTCCAACCCTGGGCTCCACTCTGAGCAGCATACGAATTGGTGTTGTCCACAAGTACCTGTACCAGACTCAAGGGAAACAAGAGCAGGAAATATAACAGAGGATTTGCATCCGAAGAGAGCTGATGAGTGGGACCTGAAGTATCGACGAAGTCTGGAACATCAAAGTCTTCCACAACATCAGTCCAGAAGTCAGAATCTCTAATGTCGCTTGCCTGGCTGTCAAGGTCAAATAATGTGGAATCTGTGTCCTGCCCTGGTTATCATCGCTGTCTGTCTCACTTCCAAAGGAATGGTCGCTGTCTGAATCATCCTGATCAAAATCTGATCCAGACTCGGATGAATCGTCGCCAAATTCTTCGTCTGCATCTATATCTGACGATTTTGGGGATGAAGAAATGTCGCAAGAAGCCATGTTGTTTACACGTGTTACGAATGTTGCAGAACGATCCCGATAGATTTTCATAATATTTTCGCATGTTTTCTTTTTTATCAAAACAACAAAACCATCTACTTTATTGTAAATGTGGATATGTGGTTATGTATTTTAAACAATTTTTTACTCGTTTTTTTTCTCTTCCAGGGAAATTCAAACATTTTTATATCCATATATCGTAATACGAACGTAACTCTCAAAAATATTTTTTGAATTGGTCAACTAAAAACATTTTATATCATTATCTAACACGCTTATTTATATTTTAACTAGATAATTAGTTTCTAACACATCTAATTGAATAAACTATTTGGTTTTGATATTTTCTGAAGTTGTTTAAACGTGTTTTGCTACGAAAAAATGACAAGTGTTTGTACCGCGTGGATTTCGATCGCGGCAAATATCGCTAGAATAATACACGTTGTTTAACTCAAAATACCAAAAAACTGGTAAATCAAATTTAAAAAAAATTAGAACAAACTTTCTTTAAAATTGTTCCCTCTTTCTAATGATACAAAAATTATTTCAATATTCGCAGCATTAAAGAAGTTATGAATATTTGTTTACACTCTACACGTTTTTCACGCCAGAGGCGTAGAAAAGCGTATATGCCATGGAAGGGGTTAAATTCTTCCTCTCAAGAATAAAAAAAAATACAATAAAACACATAAATACAGAAGCATCTTCAAATAGCGTATATTCAAGTTTGTTCAAAGGCATGTCCTTGTTTCACTTTACTTGCTGCCTTTCTTTGACTGTCCCAATTTTTAGCTCTACTGGTCAGAGACCAGAAGAGCTTATGCGAGAGTAAGGTGTCCGTCTGTAACTAATATTTCAAAATGCTACTCCTCCTTTTTTATGATTTAAATATAACTTGGCACACAAGTAGACTATACTATGATACATAATTTAAAGCTTCGGTTTTGGATTTCGATGAACAGTGTTGCCATGGTAACTAAAAGTAGAACTCTGTGAAATTCCTTTAAAACGCTGCTCCACCTAAAGTTTCAGTCCGAATTCAATATAACTTGGCTCACAAGTAGACTACACTAAGGTACATAATTCAGTCCATCGGGTTTTGATTTCGATGCACGGCGTTGCCATGGTTACTCAAAATAGAAACTTCTGTGAAATACTTTCAAAATGGTACTATTCCTAGTTTTCATCTGATTTCAATATAACTTGACACACAAGTAGACTACACTAAGATAATAATTTAGTGCATCGGTTTTTGATTTCGATGAACGGTGTTGCCATGGTTACTAAAAATAGAAATTTCTGGGAAATTGTTTGAAAATGCTACTCCTCCTACAATTTGGATTCTGATTTCATATAATTTGGCACACAAGTAGACTACACTAAGATACATATAATTCTAATAACTGCTGCCTGTTGCAAAGTTTAAAATCCAAGTGCTAGTTTTCCTTTGTTTACCTACAGACCAGTAGAGATACAGTCTCATCAGAGACTTCTGGTTAAGGTCTCATCCCAAAGACCCGCAACTTTCACTTCAAGTGCTGAGCGTATGGTAAAGGAACAGTTCTTACCCATATTTTTAGGTCACCTGAGTAAACTCAAGGGACCTAATGCCTAACTCGTCCGTCGTCGTGCGTTAACATTGGGACATTTTCAGCTTCTTCTCTGAAAACACTCAAAAAATTTTGGCATAAAGCATCTATGGGTTAAGGGAACAAAAATTGTTTATTTCATGGTCCCTGCACCCCTGGGGCCTGAAGGATGGGGTAAAAACCACTAAAATTAATGCAGTCTTAAATCTTATTCTTTACTCCTGTAAATCAAGCAATCAAATTGTTTGCATGAATGTAATCACCATTGAGTCCTTGGCAATCGACATTGGGCTCAATAGATTATATAGTGAACATGCATTATTTCTTTGAAAATCTTCTTCTCTGCTCCTGGGCATCAAATAAACTACATGCAACCAAGTACGTAGTTATGTTGAATAAGACTGTCTCTTCCAAAATTGTGAATTTCATGGCCCCAGGGTCAGGGGTTCTCAGGTGCTAGGGTGGGGCTATATAGATTATATACTGACACTCATTAGAAAGGCAACACCCTAATTTTACGGGTGGGGGGGTTATATACGGATTATAACTGTGTACCAAAAAAGTTGGGACATCTTTAACTTTGCCAACTCAGTTATTTAACGGTTGAATGATTTTGATTCCATTACCGAAAGTTGATTTAACAGAAATCAAAAAATTTGCATTTTTAATGAAATATTTGACAATATTTTAGGTTTTCAAGGTTTTGTAGCTGCTAATCATAAGTATTGTACTAAAATTAAAATTCCGAGAAAAAAATCCTTCTTTCTTTCCCGGATGTGATGCCTATATTTCCTCAAAATGACAGCACGCATTAACTGACTTTCTAAGGTCTAAAGATAACATTGTGAATTTCAGTGTCCCTTGGTTTGGGGTTCTGGGGTTAGGGTGGGGCTCCATTGATCATGAAGTGAAAATACATTAATTCTTTTAAAATCTTCCTCTCTGGTACTAGGTATTAAATAAACTAACCAAGTACATAGTTATGTTGAATAAGGTTGCCTCTTCCAAAATTTTGAATTTCATGGCCCCAGGGTTTCTCAGGTGTTAGGGCGGGGCTCTATCGATTATTTAGTGACAATACATTAATTCTTTAAAAATCTTCTACTCTGTTCCTGGGTATTTAACCCGTGAATTATGTAAATAGTTAAGTTGAATAATGCTGCTACATCCAAAATTATGAATTTCATGACCCCTGGGTCAGGAGTACAGGTGTTAGGGTGGGTCCTTTGCTCCTAGGTATGATGCCAATGAACTAGGTACATATTAATGAAGATGAAAGGTGCCTCTTCCAAAATGGTTGATTTCAGGGCCCCCGGGTCAAGGATACTTGGGGTGGGGGTGGAGGGTCACATAGTCTGAAAATAAATTAATGCTTTGAAATCGGCTCTTATTTTATCCAGAAATCTTTTGTCTCTAAGTAAACGTAAGTATCGAGTTGTATACCTGGATCACCAGTGAAGGGCGCTTTTACGGGAAGTGTATCTACGGTATCTCAGTCATCGTCATCTCTGTAAACAGTTCTCTCACCGACTAAAATATCTCAATATCCGGTAGAATTTTGTGATAATTCAAAATATCAATATCTTGGAATCCCTTTTAATCCACTTCACTATCTCAATCACCAAAATAATTTTAAATAAATTTTTAATTTCAGTTTTAAATAAATTCATCTCTTTCAACATTAAACCATTGTCGGTCGCCATTTTTTTAAGCGAGGTAAACAGGAAGATCAAGCAGTGTCTTTTTATTGATCTTTTAAGCTTTAATCAATGAAATTAAAGTTTACAAACAGTGTATTGGATTGTTAAACGGATATAACGAAATAATATCACAAATTAAGTGGGTTTATAAATCTATTTATCTATAAATATATAGGATTTGGAATTCCCTAGATACCACAATAAGACACACTGCAATCAACACTGGAAAACAAAGTTTACAGTCGCGGAATTTTCCGCGGTAAGCATGATAAGGGTTAAAACTCCTCAACAATTAGCAAAATTAAATAAGAAACCTTTGGGATCTGTTGTTTACTTAAGTGTGTATCACCTAAATTTACTGCTGATTTACGCGATATCATGACAGTATGATCCGATTTTCCGGATGCTAACACTGTGGTTTTCTGAATTGAAATATATTGAAATAACAAACAGTATTCAAGCTCAAAAGTCCATAAAACAATACTAAATAGGAGCAGAGCAAACACGGACCTTCAAACTGATGACTTTTTTCCATGCGTATCAAAAATTGTCTTCAAGAAATGATTTGTTTAATAAATAAAAGTTATATAATTGCCCAAAAAAGCGTTGATATATTATTTCTGCTACATGTTAATTATAATAATAACAGTAATCCGATGAGTCGCCCATATGGCGCAGTGGTTAGAGCGTCTGTCTAGTCGCGAAATAAGTAGTTGATCCTTACGTCGCGGGTTCGAATCCCACTGTGGGACGTGTAGACCGAGACCGTATAAACCGAGGTCCCGTGCCGCAGTAGGTGCTAGCACGAAAAGAGACCCCTCATTGCTCAATGGCTCTGAGTGCCGAGTATAGGACAACATTTGCAGCTCTCCACCGGTGGTGTCTCCATATAAGTGAAAAATTCTTGAGAGGACGTCCCCATCGAGAATTTTTCACTCATATGGAGACGCCACCACTTGCCGGTTGAGAGCTGCAAATTTTGTCCTATGCTCGGCAATCAGGGCCATTGAGCAGGGAGAGATCTTTTTCGTGCTAGCACCTACTGCGACACGGGATCTGGGTTTATACTTGTACGGTCTCATCCGAAGGATCGGTCAACAACATAAAACAGTAAACTGATGTACCCCTATCAGGCCGTATTATTCTTGAGAATTTCTTGATTTTGTATTTCCACATTAGCATTTTAATGGCAATAGCCCTACAACGGTTGTCTCTCGGCCTTCTCCGTAAACTTCTTTCGGCAATCACCGGCTGATTCCGTTACCTTCTTTAAACAAGAAAGAGGAAAAGAGTAATAACAAATTGTAAAGCCTGCACGCAGTTAAAATCAAATTTCATTTAAAATGAAAATAAAGAAACCTTTTTGCTAGTTTTTAGTTATTGCTTTAAAAATAGCATGTTAGAATAAATGGCTGCCAATTTCGTTGTTCGTTTTGTAATGTTTTCATACGATTGTAAATCTTGAAAAATTGTTATGTCGTACGAAAATTTGATCATCAGAAATTTATTTATAGAATAATTGGAAATTTTGTTATCATGCAATT